CAGCTGTTAAGTTACTTTAAGAAAAATAACAAAAAATTGTAAGAACTGTGAGTCCTCTGCGCCCTCCAGGAGGACTGGCTCACTTCGTCCAAAATTGCCTGAAGGATCTGGCATTCGTACTGCCCTTGAAGATTTAAGGGCACTTGTAATTTCTAAATCCTTGTAAAAAGGCCCATTCAACAGAACTTTTAAGGTGGTAAAGGTATTACAGGGTGGTGTCAGTTTGACTTCTCTGGAAAATGCAAAGAATTGAAGTTGCTAGCACCATGGAAAAAATGTTATGTTTCTCATGAGTTCTTTTCTTTGCCACAAACTGGCTTTAAAACATGTTACCAACAGGCCTCCTATTACAAAACACCAAAGTCACGTTTTTGCTGTATGCTGAATGTTTTAAACGCCATCTAGTTATCAGAATGGAAGAGAGTGCACTTGCTAACCCTGAATGAAATCTGCTGAGAGGAATGGATAATAACGAACTTGTATTCATGTTCTGAGTAGCAAGGAAGGGCATGTCCCACAAAACCTCGATGATAAATCTCCAGTTATGGCTACCTATTTTTCCTATAATACAAAAATGGCAACTAAAATTATTACTGTTCTAAATAGCTAGCAATGTATTTTGCAGCCTGGCACCACTTAATTCTGCAGATGTTTTACAGAAATATTATTTGACTCGAGAGTCATCTTCGGAACATAGCCTTTTAAAGGAATAATGCTTGGCATGCTATAGATAAATCTATGTGAAAGCTGGTAGATATTGCTTGAGCTGGGGTGAAAGTTACATTCAAGCACATCATTTTTCTTCAAGTCTTAACATTTAAAGCAAGTAAAATAAGTGAATATTACCAGAAAATAAACAGCAAATTAGATGCTTCTCTAACTCCTCTACTGGTCGCTCCCTTCAGAGAAAAAAAGAGAGTTATATTTTGTGTCACTGAATGAAGACCTAATACTAAATGTAAGTTGTTGTTTATGCCCTGTTTTCTCCCTTTCTTACAGTTTAATCTGTTTATCATGTCCGTTTTTCCATATTACTCCACCTTTTGTCTACCCTTTGCTGCTTATTTTCTGTGGCAAGAACTTAAAACAAGCTTTCTGTGGATTGTTTACCATGCAAAATGGTATGTTCATCTTGTTCCTAAGGGACTTCAGTTGAGGAAAGGAATCCAGACGTAGAGAGTGTGGAAGAGCCATCACCAGTTAGGAAGTTAGTAGAGCGACACTTTATGCAGCTTTTCCGTGGTTGTAGTGGCTCACCAAGAATTGAGTTGAAAAGTACCTGTGGTTTATAGACTTTATTTCTGAAGCACTTGCAATGAAACCACTCTAATACCCTAGTGAAAGAAATAGGAGTTTGCCAATGCAGACCCTGAGGAGAAAGCCTGAGACTGTAGCAGCAGTAGTTTTTAGCCACAGAAATTTGGCTCAAGGTTCACATGCTGTTTTATATGCAAGCTGTAGAGAAGCAAATTCTGCAGCAAATTACACGCTTTACAAATTGGGATCTGTGGTCTGTATTGCACTTACTTATCGACAGCTTCGCCCCCTGACGTGTTCTCATAGTCTGTTACAGTCAAAATAATAAATAATCATCTGCATAAACTAGAAGATGCCATGTCAACTGGTTAGTCTCTTTTAGAATCTCCTGTTGACTTTATATAGCCAAGGGATGTTTGAAGCAGTCCTAAGCTCTTTTTTTGTAAGTAGAAACACTGTTTAAGTCATTTAGCCTTAGTGAATCGTCCTTATCAGATTTTGTAGTGTGTTCGATAGTTACTACTGACAAAAAGGCTGATAGCAAGATAGGATGGAAAGTTGTATTTTCTTCAGTGACAGATGTTGCATTCTTGGCTATTAACTGGGAATTGGTTTCTGTAATTCCTGTGTAAATGACTTCGGAGTATCTTGCTCCCACTTTGCCCGTTAGAAATGCTGGCAGCTTGGACGACTTACATTCAGTAGGGGCTTCCCTAAATTGTTAAACTACAACAAATTAGAGTATCTTTTAATGAGCAGTACATTAGATAGAGGAACTCAGATCCTTAGCTGGTAGAGACTCGTGTTCTTTAATGGTTTCAACACATCTGTGCTGATTTATTTCAGCTGAAGTTCTTTGCCCTTCTTCTACCCATTGTGTTGACAAAGGCTGCTGTGGTTAGCATTAGTTTATGGTTGTGGTTGACCTGAGATCCTGCTGTGAAGATGGCTTTAAATGCAGCAGTTCTGCCCTATGTTCATTTCTGGTGCAATGATGTCTGAATCCGATCATGAAGTGATGTTTAAGATTACTGTAGCTAAGTTTGTGTTCTAATGCAGTGTTATCTGTACATGTCACGCACTGCAGTGGCCTTAAGGCATATGTCAGCTACACTGATCTACCTGGTGGTAGAACATTTCAACTTTGTACTCCTTTAATCTGAGTACTTTTTTGGCTATAGAAGAAGTCAACAGAATATAAACCTGTACAGGAAAGAGTCTAAAGAAATCTATGCCACAAAACTGAGTAACTGAATAATACTGGGAAGCACATAAGAAGTGCTGAGAGGGAAGAGCCAGGTTATAGGTTTTGAAGTTCAATTATGATGATTTAAACAGACTTGCACCTTACTCTTAAGCTTACATTATCTTGTAACTTTTTTGAAACTCAGGTTAGGTTGGCTAACACAAGCTGCAGCCGTCTTTAAAGTGTCTAGGTACTAACTATGTGGCTGAACAATAATTACTCAAATATCCTCAATGACTTAGTAATTAATAAGTAGCAGGGCAGGTTCTTAGGTCTTAATAATCTCCATTTAATCCATTAAAGCTATGGTAACTTAAGGAACTGAACTGACAGCTCCTTTATGTGAACTATTTGCAAGTAACTCAAAAATAAGACTCTTAAAAGATCTCTGAAATTCTTTTACCACCTCCTTTTGCTGATTGACACCTTCTAATGCTATCCCTTGATTAGTATTCTGGAGCTAGTGCATAAATTTAAACTCCTGAACATCCTTTGCTCATGAAATTTCCATGACAAAGTCATTCTGCAGTTGTTTTCATTCTCAACATGTGATGTGCGGTATTTAAGTAACAGGAAAGATTACAACAGTTGCTTGAGTTGTCGTTTTCTCTTCTGGACCCTGTGAGCCAGTAATGTTTTTCTGGAAGTTCTCTGCTGGACAGAAAGGAACGTGGAAGGGACTGTTCCAGGGCGTACAGAGGAAACACTGTTAAGAGAAGAAAGGTAAACTGCACAGGAAGCCTGCACAGGGAAATTCAGCTGCTTGCTTTTTTTTTTTTTTTAGAGGACTTTGCTGATTGGTGGTAACTTTTTCCGTGACCAGATGCACTTTGAGCTGGCATTAGCAGAGGCAAATAGAAATTCATGCCCTTTCCTGTCCTGAGTCTTGTAGGTGATTTTATAAAACAAAAGGATCTTTCTTAACATCCAGGCTATTTAAGACTAACAAAGGAATAAATGATATTATGTTTCTCTGGCATCCAGTATGAATTTGGCAAAGAACAAAACAGTAAACATAATGACGTGACTCCTGTTTAGTTTTGAACTTCACTAAAAAAGACAATACAAGGAAGGGTGAAGCCATTTGGGAAAAAAAAGAGTTCTGGCATGCAGTTCTTCAATGAAAAATGCCTGAGCGTTTTTGTAATCTTCCTCTAATTGTAAGATCACTAGAAGAAAAGCTGTGGGTTACTTGAAGTGCTAGGTATATGTTACAAAATGTGTTTTGGTAGCTGTTATTTGGCCTAAACTGCGTATTTTTGTGTGTTATGCTGATAAAAATTCCACCTGTAAATTGAGCTGTAAATAATGTTACAACTGGCAACAAGTGTAACTCTGGGGATCCAAAATTAACTAGCTTCCAAACTAGAAATCTTCCTAAGCATGTAGCAACATTTTATTTCTACCTGTAGTTCCATCAACCCACAAAAGTACAATATAGCAACATTCTCCTCAGCTTCAAATAACTCATAAGCACCTAAACTTGTCAGCCAGTTTCTGCGATATTCCCAGCCACGTGATAACTTTTCTCTCTCAAATCCTCATCCTGTTTGCTTTTGCTCCACCTTTTCATGCTTACATGTTCGTTGGCTCAATCATTTAATCTACTAAGTGAAATCTCGGTGAAAATGCTGCTCCATTGATCATGTTAAGAATACCAAATTATTTTACTTCACCTTTTTTTAAACCAACTTGCAATTCTTTAAGCTTGAAGAAATATGGTAAGTCTATAAAGTATAAAAGTTAGTTACTTTTTTGCTTCCAGCTTGCTTCAGTGGTTTGTTAAATCCCATTGCTAATGCCTGATGGGTTTTGATTATCTTAGTAACTGAAAACTTGTTGATTTATATGGACCATTTGGTTAAGCCCAGGTCCCTCAGGCCACTTTTTATTTATAGCAATAACACTCAGTGCTATGCTGTTTTTCATTTTCCAAACCAGTGTCTGATGGGGCTGGAGTCATTGTTTGAGAGAAGATCTCCAAATTGCATAGCATGCTTCAGGAAGCTTTTCAGTGGGTGGTTACCTTCTCTTAAGTCAGTTTTCAAAGGCTGTTGTTCCTTTGGCAGAGTTTTTGGGGCTCCGCGCTCCTAATTGTGCATTTGGAAGAGCTGATTTTCAGGAAGACTAGGATGCTTGAATAATAGTAAATACTAGTACTTTGGTCTTTGGTGATTCAAGTAAGCGTTCAGATTTGTATTACCATCCTCTAACATGGCGGAGCATGTTAGATCTCCTGTGTTGAACTTTTTAAATGTGCTGTCCTGTGTTGAATAGTGGCCTGCTTTGATTTGGGCTCCACAGTGGTGATAGATAAAATATTTGCTATCTGTTCCCAGAGGAATGCTATAGGTTTTAATTAATAATGTTTGTAAAGTGCTTTGTGAGCCGCAGATTCTGAAAATGTTAATTAGCATTTAACTGATGCAAGCACACTGAAGCCAGTGTTTTTGTGAAAACCCATTTTGCTTATAATCTAATCGTGAGTGTTTTTCAGATCTTCTATTGGAAGATGCAAGTTATACAAACCTACCCCAGGATGATGGGCAGAAATAAGAGACTGCCTTAAAAATGAACTCTACTGCCATGTTGTAACTCAATACCTCGTTCTAAGATGGAAGGGGTAAGCTTTTTTTTTTTTTTTAAATGCCAAAGGAATTAGAACATTTGTATTCCACTGAACAAAATGCAAGGAATGTGACTGTTGCACATCAAAAGAATATGCACGTATGACTCAAATGTGTACCATCTGGAATACGGTTATTTAGTAAGGAAAGAGTCTGGTTGGAACTGCTTGTGAGATTCTTAAAAATCTTTTTTTATGGCTACCAGCCTTTCCTTTACTAAAATAAAAAAGTCACGAGTTGCCTGAAGTTATTTATTCCTTGATATATTCTGGTTCAGTTCTAAAATCAGGAGCACCACATGAAGGACTAAAGACTCTTTATATATTAATTTCTGAATCATATGCTGAATGAGCAAAATCTGGCTTCCAATCCATCCCTTCCAAAAAAAAGGGGGGGGAGGGAATGGTAGTTTGGTTGCCATTGAAATAACTCTTGGCTCTAAGCCATTGCTTCCTTAACAGGCTTCCTTTTGGCTCATTTAAAGAAGTTTTGTAAGCATTCCTCTCTTTTAAAAGAAAAAGAGATTTTTTGGTAGTATTAATATGCTACTTACTTTTATTGGACATTCTTGCAGCACAGACCAGTGCGGCGTTCCAGGCCCAATGAAATGAAAACTTTTGTCTCATGTCATACTGTAAGAGTTGTTAGAACATCAACTTGGACTGAAACCTTTCTTGTTGAGTCAGTTTTCTTTAAAAGAGGCACAAGGGTGTGGGATTTTTTTTTTAAGGATTTTTTTTTAATGCAGTGGATCAGGGAGAAGTTTACTCCTAGATACCATCAAATCCTAAACAAAATAATTTGAAGAATTTTTCATACACTTAAATGAGTTTCTAAAATTGTCTGTGTACTTTAATGTAAATTGTTGGTTTGCTTAAGCTATGGCTGCAGTATCTGATGAAATAATGTATTATTCTAGAAGATTGTTTCAGTAATCTCAAAGTATAGGATCTAGTATATTTCAGCTGAATTACACGCTTGGATGTGAACTTAGCAAAAGAATATCAACAGAGGGTCTTCTGCAGTCTCCTCTGTAGCCATTGGTTAAAGGACCGTTAGCCAACACTGATCTTTAAAAGGCTGGGATAATGTTGATTGGGAAAGGGAAGAATTAAAACATTTGTTTTCACTAGCATTACACTTTGAAGACGTCTCTCCTACCTGTGGTTAAACTAGTAAACCAGAATCATCTGGATTCCTCCTGATTTCTGGATAAGCGATTAGCTGAGCCTATGGAAGTTGTCCATTTGTGCTAACAATCAATTCAGATTAAAAAGGGCAATTACTTTAATGTTGTGTTCCCTTTATGAGTTTCATTTTGAATTTTCAGTCACTTTTGAGGTTCTAACCCTAAACGCAGTGATGGTTTGTATTCCTGAGACTCTGTTGTAAGATTTCTGAATGCCTCAGTGTCTCCATTCCTCTGCAACGAAGTGAAGCTTTGAGCCTCTAGAAAGAAAAACATTCCTCATAAGAAGCCTAAAAATGTGTAAATCTCTTCTCCCCTATTCCTGTAGATTTTTCTTCTAAATTCTAGACAGATAAATAGGAGTGTTCTTCTTATGAGCAACTGAAGGAAGTCACTCTTCGCCCATTTACTAAAGGTTTTTGAAATGTCAGTAAATGTATGGATAACGGTGGTCCAATTGGTGTTGGGTTTAACTCTAAATTCATATTGGTATTTGGGCTGCTTCCTATGAGTTTTCTCTCCAAAGGCTCTCGATGCCTGTCATGAATAAGGAAAAGCTCCACTCATGCATTAAAAACTGCTTCAGGCAGAAGGAACAAAGAAAAGGAAGAGGTCATTAGTTTCAAAAAAGACGACTGTCACTAGAAGGGGCTGTTAGGATCTGCATCGTTCATCATATGCAGACATGCTCAGAAAAGAGCATAAATAGTGAAGATAACCAAATTATTCACTTAGTTCTAAAGCTAACTGCAAAAGATTGTAGAAGTCATATCACTGAAAGGCAAGTTGATGAAATAGCAAAATTGTGAGGTGGCCTATACCTAGAAAGACCTATGAAGCTACACCGAGTTATTACTGGGCTTTATATTTATTGTTATTGGGAAGAGATCCTTGTGACTAGTTCTCTGAGGTTAACTTGGGGCTTGGGGGCAATCAAAAAGCTAACAGTTAGGAATATAAAGGAAGGAACTTGGGCGATGTAAAAAAAGAAATTGTGTATCAAATCTGGGCTGTAAGTCATGTCATCCCATCTCAAAAAAAAGGGTTGAAAGTAGAAAAGTATAAGAATAATCAAAATATGGAATTCCTCTCTTGTGATAAGAGGCTTACATATATGGAACTCATATTGGCCAAGAGCTGGCTAAGAAGGAATGTGATAGGTCTGTAAAAGCACAGATGGAAAGATGACTAGAAAGTGATTATCCACTTTTTCTGGGAATATGAGAATGTAGGGGTTCAAAAAAGGATTACATTAAATTGTAAAGTGAAGATATATTGGTAGCTAGTGTAAACAATTGTTTAGTTATAGCATCTGGCACAGAAAGTCTTTGAGACACTAAATGTTTTCATGCTTTGTCAAGCAAAATGTCATAGTATATTTACTGTATTCTTGTCCCTGATTGTTCAGAGTGAGGCACTCTTTGGAGATATGATATCACTGTTTGGAAACCAGACATTTGCAGAACGATTGAGTTGGAAGGGACCTCTGGAGATCATCATCCAACCCCCCTGCTCAAGCAGGGTCACCTAGAGCAGGTTGCCCAGGACTCTGACCATATGGCTGTTGAGTATCTCCAAGGGTGGAGACTCCACAATCTCTCTGGACAATCTGTTCCAGTGCTCTGTCACCCTCACAGTGAAAAAAGTTTTTTCTTAGATTCAGACAGAGCTTCCTGTGGTTCAGTTTGTGCCCGCTGCCTCTTGTCCTGTTGCTGGGCACCACGGAGAAGAGGCTGGCCTCATCCTCTTGACACCCTCCCTTCAGATATTTGTCTACGTTGATGAGATCGCCTCTCAGTCTTCTCTTCTCCAGGCTGAACAGGCCCAGCTCTCACAGTCTTTCTTCCTAGGAGAGGTGCTCCAGCCCTCTAATCATCTTGGTAGCCCTCCGCTGGTGAGGAGAGGGGCAGGATCACCTCCCTCCACCTGCTGGCAACACTCTGCCTAATGCACCCCAGGATACCGTCGGCCTTCTTGGCCACCAGGGCCCATTGCTGGCTCATGCTTAACTTGTTGCCCGCCAGCACTCCCAGGTCCTTCTCTGCAGAGCTGCTTTCCAGCAGTTCAGGCCCCAGCCTGTGCTGGTGCCTGGGGTTATTCTGGCCTATACAGCTGCATCAGTTTTTGGTTGACATTGTACAGGGGTTTGTATGATGATAATGAAAGATACAAGAAACGGCATTGAGAACTGGATTGAGAAAGTCAGCCAAAATTTTTAGGTATCACAAATGATTTAGAGTTTCTTAATTTTTTTTTTTTTTTTTTTTGCTTCTGAACATAAAAAGATTCAGAGATTGGATGGTCCTCATTCTCTGAAAATCCGCTTCATAAGTATCTCAGCTTTAGTACCCCAAAACGAAGGTACTTAAGGTCACTTCAGACAGGTTGCTTTGTCTGGGGAGGGGGAGTGGGCTTTGAAAAGAGCAGAACGTAATGCTTCTCTAGGTAATTGTAGATGTGTTACAGAGGGCCCTGTTTTGAATCCCTTACTCATATCGGTGAGTTGATAGTTGCACATGATTCACTTCAGATGGATTAACTGTGAATTTTGTGGCAAATAAATAGTGTAGTGCAATGCTGCTAGAAAAAAAAAATCAGACTAGTGCATAAAAGTAACTAATAAAAGAGCATAGCAGAGACCAGCTAACATCAAATGATTTTAGGTGTTGATGGAAAAACACTTTGGAAGGATAAAAGGATAAGACAAGACTGGCAAACACTGAGGGGGGGAAATGCCATATGGAAACAAAATAAAGACATAAATTTTATAGAAACTGTATAAAGGAGATGACAAATATTTTGTAATTTTGTAAGGCATGAATTTGGCAGTGAAGGAGAGGAAGGCATGTACCCATGTATTTCTATTTCTTCATGTTGCTTTTGAAAATAAGTTTCAAGTAGATACTCTAATGTTCTGGCCAACTCTACTGTGTTCCTTTTCCACCTGGTATGATTTCTGATTGCTTGAGCTGCACTGAGAGCTCAGTCCAGAAGACAAAAGGGATTCAGTTCAGTTCTTAACCTGAGACAGCACTGAATCTCACTCTTGTTTATGCATCTTCTGGGTTCTGTTTCATTTTGATTTTTTTCTCAATGTGAGGTGAATGATTTTGAAATGATACCTCATGGATACTAGTCATCCAAACGCTTCTGAAGGTCTGTTGCTTACCTTTGCTTCTTGAGAGACTGCAGCAAGGTGGTATGGTGTTGAATTTCACTATACTTGGTACTTTGAGTAGTCTTTGAGCAGTGAAAAATGAAAAGTCCTGTGTGGCCAAAATGAAGGCTCATGAAAATGTAACAAAGGGTGATTTGTGTCAAACTGGTAACTAGTGTAAACTTAACAATAGGTATTTTTAAATGGAGGAGGGGAAAGATGACAGGGAATAAAAGAGAAAGGCAGGTATGGACCTCAGAAAGCAAGAAGGAAAGGAGGAGGAATGGGGAAAAGAAATGCTAGAGGAATAAAGATCATGATGATGCATCCCAGTGTAACAAGAAAGAAATTTTTATTTTTGCCTTGTTGTCTTCCAACTCTGTTTTTCACCCATTCAGCTTTTTTGTTCTTATTTTCCTTTCCTGGTGTTTTTTTTTGTTTTTGTTTTTTTGCATTTAGTTCGGGTTCATTATCTACAACATCCATAGAACAAATCTGTTGCTCCAAAACCCAGCTCCAGAATCTGCAAGGACATCTCTGCAACACCACGTATGTCTTTTTATAATTTACATATGTTCTGAAATTGGTTTAAATACAGTGAGAGAGATGCCTGGGGACAATATATACCGAAATGAATCGGATCACTTCCCTGGGGACTGAAGTCACCACTTTACCTTTAAAATACAGAAACTTCTCTCTGTTTAGGAGCTAAAGAGACAGCTTCACGACTTGAACTGTTGAGAAGAGCTGATCAGCTGAAGGGGTAGATATCTGCTGAAGAGAAGGATAGTTGGGAAGAGCTGATCAGCTGAAGGGGTAGATATCTGCTTAAGAGAAGGATAGTTTTTGCTTCACCACAGTGTAAAAATTATTACCTATTCAGGGTAATTCAGGCTTACTTTTCTATTTGGTCACCTCTCTCCAGAATGTAAATGTATTATCTTTCCAAACAAAGATGTGATCGTCATGGGGGAGGGGGAAGGAATAATGGAAGAAAACTTATTCAAACTAGATGATAATGAAGATTATATCTCCATAAAACAGACAGGATTTCAGCTAAGAATCTGAATAGAATACATTAGAAATAATGTTAAAAAGTTATGCTTGTTCATAGATTTCTAACAAGACATAAGCAATCTATTTTTGTAGATGGGATGTAAATGCAGTTGTGTGTGATGTGTTTCACTGCTCTTTTTGTGAACTACTTCACTGCTGTTCTCTTACTACAAAAAATGTTCTAGCCTGCATCAAAAGGCACCAAAAAATAGTTCCTAAGCATATCTTTTTTTTCCATCCTTTCCCTTCCTTGAATTGGAATGACAGGTAAGAAAGGCTGGTTTAATAACTTTCCTTAGAGAACACTGTAATGCAGGATAAGTGATGGCTGTCTTTACTAGGTTATGAGGCTAATATTTCCTCTGCACTGGCTGAAATTATGCCCTATTACAGTATCGGAGGTGGGGGCAACATACATGTTAAGAGATTATTTTTTTCCATTTATTTAGAGAGAAACAGAAGTGAAATAATTTGACCAAGATAACATGGCAGATCTGTATCAGGGCTAGGATAAAGTCAGACTCTTAGTGTAATGACTCACCTAGTAGATCATACTGCCTCTGCACTTAAACACTTGAAATAGAACTTTCAAAAACACCAGTGTGATTTAGGAGAACAAACCTCGTAGACCCTGTGGTCTCCCATATCTTAAGTGCTCAAAAAAAGAATCATTTAGTTTTCTTATCACCTAATCTGCCTGTCATTTTTTTGTACCTGGCTATAACATGAGGCTGGCAGCCTTGCTTTTCTCGTATTGCTCCTTTTCCTATTTTTCTTCTAATTAGATTATAAAAGAAAACTGCTTATGTATTTGTATAGTATCTTGCATAATGGGGTTTCAAATCTGGATTGTGATACTGTACAATAAATCAAAATGACAGAAATAAGTGACCAGTTTCAGAATAGCATACCCTTGGATACCTTCACCTGTGTAAACTTAAAAGTCTTTTTAAAGAGACCAGTCCAGAATTTTATTACTAGAGCCATGAAAGGCTGGTTTTGTTTTTTTGTTTGTTTGGTTTTTTTTCTTTTTTAATATGTTAAAGCATCTGGAGTTTTTGCTCTAAAGTCAGATGGAGTTTTAACACTAGCTTGACACGGAGAATTACTGTTCTGCTATTGAGGAGTGCAGCTTTGGTAGTAGGAGAATGTAGCTATAAATGAAACTATTGTAAACGTGATCAGAAAACTGTTGGGAGCGAAGGGCTAATGAACTGTTAATAGATACTGTAATAAGTTTAATCAGTTATGTGCCAATATAAGCAACATGGGCATCTTTTTAGAACATATGTGTCACTCATGAATGTGCTGACAGTCATTAGTGAAAAATACTACTCATATTAGTAATTTGTCAATATTTTATAAACCTCCATGGAAAATATAACTTGCTTGGTAATGGATATTACTTGTCCCTTATCTGGGTAGATTTTGGATTGTTTTGCTTTAAATTGTGAAGTCTAAGCCCAAATCATGGATGCTGCCTAAATTGCTAGTGTTGAAGAGTTTGTATTTCGTGAGTGCAGATGGAATTGACAAAGATTATAGCAAGTCTAGGTAGCACCATTAAATTTAAGACTTCAGTGATATGCATTTACTGTTTTCTGTTGCTACCAGCTGTGATGCTGTAACACTGGAGTACAAAGACAGGAAACAGGGAAATAAGTGATGTTATAGACAAATGTTCACCACAGACCAAGTAGGATCATTGACTTATGTGATGGAGTATAGTATATTGCCTTTTATAAAGCTTGAAGTGGTTCATTGACTGCAGTGACTGGTTTGTCCTGCAAGTTTTTTTTTATGTTACTACAATAACTTTTTCTCAAAGGTAAATGTATATTCTCTTTCACATTCAAATACCTCAAGTCATATTAATTCATACTCAAATGAGTTTTGTCATGCTACCCTCCTTTAGATTGTCACTGGGGAAATGCTTATAAATTGGCTGAAATAGCAGTTAGTTTTCAGGGAGGCTTAGAACCGAGACTGAGGAGGCACTTTGTTTTTTGAGCTGCATTGGCAGAGTTCACTACATAATTTATTGACGCTGTCTTTGAGTATCCTCAGTTGTTACTGGTTCTGTGGAGTACCAACTGTTGGAAAGGAAGAGGTCAATCTGGCTTTTGCCAGGACGCTTGTCTGCCTTCCCTCTTGAATACTGGATCTCGCTTATGATATAGCTATTTGTTAAAAAACAATAAATAACCCCAAACCCTAGGACAAATCATCTATATGTACTCGTATTACAATACTGAAATGTAAATTCAAGATAGTGCAGGGTTTGAAAACTCACACATGCATGCTTCAGAACACTGAGTCCTGGTATCTGCTGAGCTTCCTGCACATAAACGGGATAACCTTTGTCTAATCTCAGTTATCAGGTATGACTCATGTAGCAGAATAGATTTTTATGTACTGCATATGCAAAATTATAGTATGACCCGTAGCATTTGTTACTTATTGCTTTCATTGGGTAGTAAGTGTTTAAAATAGTTGTTAGGGTGTTAATTAGCAGGTGCCTTACTATTCCTCATGCTATTCATGATAATGTTCACTTTCTGTTTTGACACTATCAAAAGAAAATGATCTTGCAAAAGTCAGCTATTTGGTACAAAATCCTTGTTTAATAGGAATGTAGAAAATCATCTATACTATATCTTTCTTCAAGTGAGTGGGATTCCATATTGAGAGGAATTTGCCTTCTTGCCTTCGTATTTTTCTAAAAGTGTATGATGCAAGAGGTGAGGTGAAGAGAAGAGGAAAGCGGCATCAATGTGCTGAACTAAATTGTGAGTTATTGTCTCCGATGCGGAAGCCGATTCTGGACGGGATATCCTCTGTTGTGTTGTATTCATGTGGAAGTCAGCGAGGCGATGGGTGGATATTTGGGCCTGCTGGTGTGCATGCAAGCAATAATTAGCTATTAATAATATAAAGCGGGGGAGGGGGACACAAACAGGATAAAAGACATAAAAGACAAGCCTATACTAATAATGTGCACAAACGGGATAAAAGACAAGCATATGCTAATAGTGGGCAGTTGTTGGGTATCTGGAGCTGTGGAACCAATAGCTTCAAGGAGCTAAAGGAATTTCTCAGGTTTCACACCCCCCACCCCGAAAAATGGATGAGTTTCTGGGTGTATCTTAATGATAGCAGCTGCTCTCCCTAGCCGAGCAGCGGAGCATTTACCTAAGAAGCAAAGCTAGCTAGGCTAGAAATTCTTTGCAGCCAGCTACAGAAATAGCAGGAGAGCAGCGAGGCAGCCGTCCCCGCCCTCTCTCCCTAGTTTTCAGTACGGTGGAGGGGCCCCCAGCCGTGTGTGCGCGCGCGCGTGTCAGGAGCAGGTGGGCCCCCCTGCGACTCCGCCCCGCGCGGTCCCCGTCGGCCATACGGTGATGCCAGACAACTCCGTGCCAGAGCAGGCTCTTCATTGGAGGAGCGGCTTGTCAGTCCGGGGCCGTGCGAGCCCTACTCCCTTGCAAGCTGCTCTCAAGGTCTGATTCTGGAGCGGTGGCCGGTGGCAACGGGAAGCGGCGTTGCAGGGAACAAAGTTTGCAGCGCTTAGGCACTTGGCTGCTCGCGTCTTTGATGCCCGTGGCAAGAATCGGTGCCTAAACCTAGCAGCCAGCCGGGAGGCTGACACGTCTTGCTGGTTTGCTGTTCGTACTGCTATTGCAAAGTTTCAGCTATTTTAATGTACTAAAATCAAGGATTCTAGGTATCAGCCCTCCCCACCCCCATCTCTCCTTCTAGGTAGGCGAGAAATATTTTTATTCTGTGGATTAGAGAACTTTTTGCATGGAAATTTACTGACTTTTGAGTGGTCTCCGTTTTGGGGAAAGGGGGGAAAGGATTTATTTTCATCGCACTTTATTTTTGTTTTCTGGATCACAGGATTTTTGGAGCTATATGGAGGGATCTCAGGATGGTGTGCACCAGGAAAACCAAAACTTTAGTGTCCACTTGCGTGATTTTGAGTGGGATGACTAACATCATCTGCCTGCTGTACGTGGGTTGGGTCACCAACTACATTGCCAGTGTCTATGTGAAAGTACAGGAGCCGATCTCAGAAAAAAAGTTAGAGGAAGACAAAGGGGACACTTTAAGGATTATAGAAAGGCTGGACCATTTGGAAAATGTCATCAAGCAGCACATACAAGGTACCACTTAACCCCATGTTTACTTTCCCTCCTCACCCCACCCGGCTCCTTTCCGTGTGCAGACCTCCCGTCCCCTCCCGCCGCGTTTGGGGTGTGTGTGTGTGTGTGTGACATTTCTGTTGCCATGGGGGGAGAGCCATTCCTCAGCCCGGAAGAGCAGCGCGGAGGCTGGAGGCTGCGGTGCGTGCGGAGGTCCCTGGCGGACTCCGCTGGTGCTTGGCGAGAGGCGCGGCGGCAGCGGCGTGTGGCGACCTGCCGCGCACCCTTCCCTCCTCCCAGGTTGGCCTCCGTGCCGGGTGG